GAACACATGGTCCGATGGCTTGACAGGGCTCTGGCCTCAACGTTCGGCCACGTGGGCGGTTCCGAAAGGGCAGGCGGCGGCGGTGATTCGCCGTAAGCGTCTTCGATCCGCCGCCCCCTGTTGGCTTGCCACAGGGGTGCCTGGCGTGCTAGATACTTTCGATTTGGGTTCTGGCTCTTTCCACAAAAAAATCCCACTGGGGCTTCGGCCGATCCCGCCGGGGTCCCGGAAAGGGCAACCACCTCAACGACCGCAAAAAATTCTCCAAGACGGCTCGAGATGGCCTCTAAGATGATAACGTTAGCCCAAGATGGCCTCCAAGATGGCCCAAGATGGCCTCCAAGTCGCCAAAGATGGCTCCAAGATGGCGTCCAAAATGGCCCGAGAGAGTCCAAGATGCCTTCAAGTCCCGAAGACGCCGAAGATGGCCTCCAAGACGGCTAAGATGGCCTCCAAGATGCCTCCAAGATGGCCAAGAAGGCCTCCAAGAAAGCGAAGATGGCCCCAAGATGCACCCAAGACGGCCCCAGATGACCTCAAGATGGCCTGAGACTGCCCGAAAGGCCCGCAAGAGGCCTCCAAGACGGCCCAAGAGCCCTCAGAGACGTCCTCCAGAAAGCCCAACAGGGTCAAAATGGCCTCCAGACGGTCAAGATGACCTTCAAGATGCCTCTAAGACGGCCAAGATGGCCTCCAAGACGGCGAAGATGGCCCCACGATGCACTCAAATTTGTCCAAGATGGCCTCAAGATGGCCTAAGACGGCCCAAACGGCCCGCAAGAGGCCTCCAAGGCGGCCCATGAATCATCCAAGACGTCTTCCAGGAAGGCCCGAAAGGGCCAAAATCATTTATTTTCTTGAAGTGTTAAATGGTTAGGGCATTTGCTTCTTTTCAGCTCTCCGACGGCCCAAGACGGCCCAAGACGTCTCCCAAGAGGACTATTCCTCCCTTTCCCTTTTCTCCTCACTCTCCTCCTATTCCCCAACCTCGTCCACGTGTTCCCCGAAAGCTTTCCAAACCGATTCGGGGAACACTCGTTCCGAAAGATTGGCAAGGATCTGACCCAACCTTCGACAAGCAGGCCCCAAGACGCCTCCAAAAGCTCACAAGAGCCCCCAAGGGGCCCCGAACACGCCCATTCATCACTCTCCTCAACTTACCCGTCCTCCCCCACGTGTTTCCCGAAGGCTTTCCAAACCGATTCGGGGAACACATGGTCCAATAGCTTGGCAGGGCTCTGGCCTCAACGTTCGGCCACGTGGGCGCTTCCGACAGGGCAGGCGGCGGCGGTGACTCGCCGTAGGCGTCTTCGATAATGCCAACGTCTCAATATGCGCTGATGACTCTCATCCCCCCCCGCCTGATGTTCCCAGATGCGCCAAGGCAGCGCCGAGACGCACCGACGCGACTCTGATATATCCCATTATGATAGAGAGGGGGCCGGCGGCAGGGGGCGAAGCCCTTACGGATAGAATGGGCACCGTGCGGGGGGATCAACATGAGAATTCAGCAAGAACTTTACCAGAATGCTCCATGGTTCGGTATGCAACATGCATTCATCAAGAAGGCTCACCCCTCGTGGGAGAATTATATCATGCATCGGAGGCCCGGCATTCCCTTACCCAGGTCGCCCGCCCGAAAAAGTTCTGCCAACACTTCTTACGGGACACTTGACCATCTTCAGTTCTAACACTTGGGGCCTCCTTGGGCCGTCTTGGCGGCCTTTTGAAAAGTCTTGGGACCCTCTTGGGGCCGTCTGAGGGCCTCTTGGGGCGCCCTTAACTCTGTTGGCCCCCTCTCCAGCACCTGATGTGTCTCCTCCTCTGTAGATAGATGCCTTTTAACCCTCCTGGGACCCTCTCCAAGCCCTCCTGAGGCGATGCCGAATGTTACACACTATGTATTGAATCCGCCTGCCCTGGGTTTACGAAAGTCTCTCTGAAAAATACCGTTGTGCAAACTATATTCCGTGAGCGTCCAGCTTCCGACTCCAGCAGACTCCGAGGACATTCTCGGGTCAACTGCGCCCCGTGCGCACAAAGGCGCACGCCTGCAGGCGTCCTGAAATCCGAGCACGAAGCAAACTCATGTACCACCAAGCTGGTGTTATACATTGTCACGTGCCCACGGATCTTGCGGGCCTGAGAAAAAACTGGCTACTGCCGGCAAGGGGAGGAACAGAGCAGAAGCCTCTGGGGGGCCGAATCGGATGGTCACCGAATTGCGGCAGAAACTTGGCACCTGATGGGGAAACCGAAAGGTACCGATACTGCTGCTCCCCAGACCTCTCCTGGGGTGCGTCCTGACCAGAATTTCAAGGCGAATCGAGGGGTGGCGGCGAGGGCCTCCCAGGGAGCCGAGAAAGAGAAAAGCGAGGAGTGGTGGCGGCATGGGTACCTTTTCCTCCTCCGAGCCTCGGTCCTCCTCCTCCTCCTCCTCCTCCTCCTCCTCCTCCTCCTGCTCCCCCTCCTCCTCCTCTCCTCTCCTCCTCCTCCTCCTCCTCCTCCTCCTCCTCCTCTCCTCCTCCTCCTCCTCCTCCTCGATCCGCCTCGATCCTCCTCCTCCTCCTCCTCCTCCTCCTCCTCCTCCTCATCCTCCTCCTGCTCCGCCTTTCCTCCTCCGCCTCCTCCTCCTCCTCCTCCTCCTCCTCCTCCTCGATCCGCCTCGATCCTCCTCCTCCTCCTCAGACCTGAGTGGCCTTCGCAGGCAGCTTCGCTCGGCGTCCGGCCTCTGCAGACACGACCGAGTGCTCGGGTCCCAGCCCGCCCTCAGCCGCGGACGTACGCGCTCGAGGGGGGCGGCAGCACGGCTCAAACTCACAGCTATAGCTAAGCGCTTCGATGCCCCAACTCTGCAGCAGATGGTCCCCGAGACCTCGCCCGTGCTTTTTGTTGTGCTGCAGCTCGCCGCTCCGCGGCGAGAAAACCTGTGGGAGTCCCCAGGGACCCCTTCCAGGACATGATTTTCGGCTCGCTGGCCCGCGCAAGCGAGCAGACTGCGCCAGCAGCGGCCTCCTCGCCCCTTCCCGGGCGACCGTGGCCACGGCCCGAGCGTTGGCGGCCGCCGCCCGCCCGTCAGCTGGTTCGATGCTCGTTTTGGGGACCTTCCTGGGGCCCACCTAGTGGATCTGTTCGACTCAAGTTCGACTCAGGTTCGACTCAGGTTCGACTCGGATTCGACTCAGGATCGACTCAGGATCGACTCAGGTTCGACTCAGGTTCGACTCAGGTTCGACGCACGAGTGGAGCGAGTGGCTCCAGGAAGGTCCCCAGAATGGGCATCCAGCGTCCCAGCTCCACCCCACTCCCCCATCCCCACGCTGCTGCACACGGCTACCTGCGCTCTCCCTCCCTGCGACTTCGCGAGCAGGGGGGAGGAGGGGAGGAGGAGGAGGAAGAGAAGCGCCCACGTCCCCCAGCGGAGGACGCCGCTTGCCAGGGCACGCCACGAGGCTGCGAAGCCCCGTCCAGTGTTCAGCGCCTCGTTGGCCAGGGAGTCTGCCAACACTCTTGAATAAAAAAGTAGCGAGCGGGAGCGTCTTGGTTGTAGGGAGGCAAGTTTGCGGACCAAAGGTGGGAACGCCACTCCTGGGCAAAAAGCGAAGATGTATCGAGCGGGAGCGCTGGTGTTGTTGGAGGTACGGTTTTCGGCGGCGATCAAGGCCACTGGTCTCGAGTCAGAAGGCGACGAAATATCGAGCGGGAGCTTCGTTGTTGTAGGGAGGCCAGTTTGTGGACCCAGAGCGCGAACGCCACTCCTGAGTACAAAACGAGGGTGTATCGAGCGGGAGCGCTGGTTTTGTGGAGGGCCAGATCTTCGGCGGCGAGCCTGGGCTCTGGCCCCCAGTGAAGAGCGAAGAGTTTATCGAGCGGGAGCGTTGAAATCTCATTGCTGAACATTTCCCTCCTCCTCCTCCTCCTCCTCCTCCTCCTCCTCCTCCTCCTCCTCCTGGGGCTCGCGCTCCGTTAACTACGCCTCAGCAGGACTACGCCCCTGGCCCCCGGTTTTCACAACGACAACGGGCCCCGCAGGATACTTCCCCGCAGTGAATGACACGGCGCGCTCTCGCGCTGGATGTCTCCCCGCAGTTTACGCAGGGACCGCGCTCTCGCTTCGGATTCCCCCGCGACTCCTTCGAGCGCCGTGCCTTCGGCGCTCGGGAACCCCGCTCTGGCTCTGGCCTTCCCTGCGACCTGCTCGGGCAGCGCGCGCGGCCGCTCGAGACCTCCTCGCGGCTCGCGCGGGGCTCGCGCTGCAGCGGCCCGCCCGCTCGACGCGGCCCGTCGGGGTCCGCCGGCCCGACCCGCCGGTCTGGCTGCGCCGCCTGCCTCCCTGCTCCCTAGCAGCAAGCCTGCCAGTCTCCCTGGTGCCCCATCCTTCTGCCTCCCGCTTGTCGCTTCCCTCCTCCCTGCCTCACAAAACTCCTTCCTCCCTGCTAGGTGTTCTCGCCTGTCCCCCCCCCCTTTTCCAGTTTTGGGGGCTGCGCGAGCTACACGTGGCAGGGAAAGAAGATGTAACCCCAAGGAGGGTACGATCGAATACGAGGGCGGGTATCGAGGGTTTGGGGTATACATGCTGATTGACGCGCGAGCTGAAATGGGAGAACAGTATTTAGATAAGTGTTGCTGTTTGAGGCTGGTTCGGACGCAACCCCGAAACGCTTGAGCGTGAGCCCAAAGTCCAAAGGAAACGTGGCGGGCACCGAGGCAGGAACGCCAGAGCGGATTGAGGTCCTCCAAGAAGAACACATGTTCAGCAATGAAAAATCAACACAGGCCGAAGAAGAGACAGACGAGGGAGAGAAACGGGCGAGCTGGCAAGCGCACCACAGTGGACGAGCCCTGTACCACCATGTTGGCGCTCAACAGAATGCGCGCGCGCCAAAGATGGGCTGGCTGGACCCTCCAAAGAGGTCCGGTCATTCGAACCGTCTGGCTGGCAGCTGACGGCTTGAAGGTCAAGGCCGAGAAGCCACGGCATCTCCTGCATGTCTTTCGCT